CTACCACGCACTCGATGAGGGGTTTATACTCATCAACCGAAGGATCGGCTACGTCGGGAGTAGTATCCGGAGGTTCCACCACGTGTCCATCGAAGGGATCGGCTACGTCGAAGTAGTATCCTGGAAGTGCACGAGCACAAAAATCATTCCCCGGAGAGACGCGCGCATGAGCGACCCGAGCGATGAAGCCGCCATTACCAGCCTGATGGGGGGTTCATACCCATCCGGTCCCACACAACGGACTGCAACTACCAGCCTGATGGGGGGTTTATACTCATCAACCGAAGGATCGGCTACGTCAGAAGTTGTATCCGGAGGTTCTACCACGTGTTCACCAAAGGGATCGGCTACGTCAGAAGTAGTATCTCGAAGGCACGCGACCACAACATTTCCCCAGAGGATCATCCGCCACAAGACGGGACATCCGAAAGGCAACCAGGCAAGAGGGTCAACTCCTTTACCCCCCAGTCGATCATCCTGACAACAGAAGGCCAGCAGTCGACTGGATGGGTAAAGGGGGGGCAGCTGTAGACCCCAAATCTTGCCCGGCCTCCAAATAAAGTCAGAAGGTCCCCTATTCGGAGACGGCCGGAGCCTAACAAGCCACTAGGAGAGACTATTAGGCTCCCATACCAAGATAGGAGGGTTTTTTGGCCCAAAATAAAGTTTCTCGCGTTGAAGGGGACTCCCGGGTCAAGTCTCGCTCAAGCGAGTACGTCCGTCGCTTGAGCGACAGGTGCCGCAAACAAAGGGGACTCCCGGGTCAAGTCTCGCTCAAGCGACTGGTATACTCGCTTGAGCGACGGATGCTCCAACGAGACCGGGGTCTCGTTGACTACGAAAACGAGACCGGGGTCTCGTTCACCCAGACCGGGGTCTCGTTACCTACGAAAACGAGACGGCGGTCTCGTTGTACGAGACGGCGGTCTCGTTTTTTATGTTAAACGAGACGGCGGTCTCGTTGTACGAGACGGCGGTCTCGTTGCTTATGTTAAACGAGACGGCGGTCTCGTTGTGCGAGACGGCGGTCTCGTTGCTGTCAGACGAGACCGGCGGTCTCGCCACCTGACAGCGCGGAAACCTATAAATAGGGGCTCTCCCCCCCTCATTTCCACACACCACAGCTGCATAGCTCTCCCTTCTCTCTAAAACCTCTCTCTAGAATCCCTCCGACGCATTTCCGGAGTTTCTGAGTGTTTTCAAGAGTGATTTTCGGCGTTCGAGAGGTTTCCGACGTCTTGTAGAGTGAAGGGCTGCCATAAAGCACCCTATTTTTCCAGAAAATTAATATAAAAAGCGTGCTTCGGAGGTTCAAATTCTCTCTTTCCACCTTTACCGCTTTTATCTTAAATTATGCAGTAGACATTAGGGCCATGTAGTCATACTTTTAAATTCCGCAGAATAAAAAGGGCAAAAGTGCGTTTTTCTAGTTTATCAATAAAAATAAGCCGGCCTATCATAGGGAACCCGAAAGGGGCGTCGCAAAGGGACTAATACTCCCTTTGCACGTAACCAACTCCCTTACCCAACTCTGGTTCTAATGACCAAAGTTGGTTTTCGAAAACCAACGCCTTTTTAAAACCCCTTTTCCGATGTTTATGGTAAAAATATCGGTGGCGACTCCATAGAACCCAAAATAAATAAATCCTTGGGTTAGCCCGGTTGTCGGACAACTCAAGGACACCTTTCGAAAACCTCGTCTTTAGGTTAGCCCGGTTATCGGACAACCTAAGGACGTTGTAACCACCAATAAAAACGCGAAAATAAGAGGGTCGATAAAACCATCGCGTCGCTCCGACCGCCTCGTTTTGACGGCGGCGACAATAACAACACGATCAAAATCTTCTAGCCCTGGGGTGAGAATTGTTGTTTAGTCTCGTCCCCGTTTTCTTTTCCGTTCTCATTTTTTAGTTAAGCGAACTCATCAACTACTACTACACTTCCGATTTGTTCTCTTTTATTTAATTTGCAATTTTTACTGAATTTTCCAATTTATATTGTTCTATTTACTTTATTCATTCAGTGCTCATTTTAATTTCTACTATTTAATTGTTTAGAATATTTATTCCAAGATCTTGCTTAATTTTCAATTCATCTCTTTTCTAATTCCAATTCTCAATTTAGTTTTAGAGTTATCACTTCAAGAAATTTCAAATTCAATTATTACATTATTTTATTTGAAAGCAATTATTGATTCTTGTACTTTTAATTAAAAACACTTTATTTTAATTTTATAAATTTCAGTTATTTAAATTCCGCTTCCATTTAATTTTAATTGTCGTTAATATTTTATAGTAATTTGATTTTAATTTTATTTATTCCACATCAATTTATTTTTCACTCTTTCATTCATTCTCCTATTTATTATTATTTACTATTTTAGAGAGAATGATATGTGGTAATAAGTACGTTCCTATAATTGTGTCCTTGTGAAATTCGACACGGGTTAACTATACTGTATTAGTTTAGCAACTTGTTTATTATTTTTTATCAATATTTTATGTGACCAAAATACTGTCATCAGGAGTTAACTTCTCCTATTTTCCCACAAGGAACCTTCCTTGAGGTGATCAATATCGAGTTTTCTCAAGAAAAAATTTTAAATCATGGAATATTTTTGTTCTTTTCTCGTGACTGAAGGTGGAGAAATTTGACTTCCATCGTTTTGATTCCTAATCTAGTGACACATTGCCACAACACTAAATCTAGAAAGTATATCTAGAAACTATCATACAACACGAAAGCTAAATTAGAATGATGAACTTCACTTGAAAAGCAACAAGAACAGTAAGATGATAGACAAACTATGTGTAAGACTGGGTTTCTCTTTTACATCACAAGAATAATTTTGTAATCACCAAAGAAAGCTTTGAGAAAAAATTTCCAACTCAATATCAATTCCCTCTTAATATTGAAAATCATATGTGAAACTTAGGTTCAAAATCCCATGTTGAAAAGATTGCAAACGAGAAAGTTATATAGATTTTATGTGACAGTTTTAATGGATTAAAATTATGTTTTAATATGTTAATTTCACTTATTCATGAAATTGGTGGATTAAAACTGCATTTCAACAAATTAAATTAGAATTGTTCAAAAACTTTTGAAAACATAAAGAAGTTTTAATCTATTAAAAACTCTTTAAATCAATTTAACCAGAAAGGTTCGAAAATCTTTCTTAAAGTCCATAAAGTTTTAATCTATTAAAGACTCATTTAATGGATGAGAATAAAGAGGTTTAACAATCTTTCTTAAGGCCCAAAAAGGTTTTACTCTATTAAAAATTCATTTTACCATATTAAAACAGAACCCTCAAAATTGGTGATGGCTCTAACTGAGTTTAATCATATTAAACAATTATTTGATCAATTAAAATGCAATCTAAAAACATTTTAGCATATTAAAAATATCTTTTAAGCTCTTAAAATATTCTTCCTATTACCGAGATAAGTTCTAAAACATTTTCAACCCTGATCAACACGACACACACCCTAAACATATTTAAGTCTTTATTTTCAAGAAACTCCAAGGAATAATTGGGATTCATTAAATATAGCATAACTCTAGCAGTTGCGAAAAACTTCAATGTTTACTAATTGATGACTTCAATTTAAAGAATAAAAAAATCTTGAAGTCATATATGAGGGCACGACCTGTTAGTTTCAACATTAAAAAGGCAAAAAAAAAACTCTTCTTTTCTTCTTGTCAGATGGAGATGCGGGGTATCAATCCCCATACCTCTCGCATGCTAAGCGAGCGCTCTACCATTTGAGCTACATCCCCATATATTAGCATGTTGAATAGTTGAGATTCATCAAATATAACATAACTCTAGCAGCTGCGACAAACTTCAGTAGTTTCAACAAAAGATTTCACTCCAATTTAATGAGTTATGTTTACTAATTGATGACTTCAATTCAAAGAATAAAAAAAATCTTGAAGTCATATATGAGGGCACGACCGGTTCATTTCACCATTAAAAAAAAAACAAACAAACTCTTCTTTTTTTATTGTAAGATGGAGATGTGGGGTATCGATCCCCATACCTCTCACATGCTAAGCGAGCGCTCTACCATTTGAGCTACATCCCCATATATTAGCATGTTGAATAGTTGGAATTTATCAAATATAGGATAACTCTAGCAGCTCCGACAAATTTCAATAGTTTGAACAAAATATTTCACTCTAACTTAATGAGTTGTGTCTACTAATTGATCATCCTTAGTTTAATAAACTAAATCATCACTATTTATTTATTGTTAGTAAATCTAATATTTCACCATGTCATATTAAAATGTTATCCAATCCAAAACTTGGTGAACAAGCACAAAGGTACATAATCAAATGAATTGATTAGTGCTTTGATTGTGGAATGTTTCAATCCCTCTGACTTATTTCCTTTTGTCATTTAAAAGTTAGCAAACAAATTGTTCTTGCCCGATATTTTTTTAAACAATAAAATATTTAAAACATGATAAAGTCAAGTCATACTTAATGAGTTATGTCTACTAATTGATCATCCTTAGTTTAATAAACTAAATGTTCATATTTATTTATTGTTAGTAAATCTATATTTCACCATGCCATATCAAAATGTTATCCAATCCTGAACTTGGTGGACAAGCACAAAGGTACATAGTCACACGAAATTGACTAGTGCTTTGATTGTGGAATGTTTTAATCTCTCTTACTTGTTTGCTTTTGTCATTTAAAATTTGGCAAACAAATTGTTCTTGCCCAATATTTTTTTAAACAATAGAAGATTTAAAACCTGATAAAGCCAAGTCATGTGATACGACGTCAATTCAAAGAATAAGAAAAATCTTAAAGTCATATATAAAGGCACGACTTGGTCATTTCCCCATTAAAAAGTCAAAATGAAAAAAAATATTTGTGTTTTTAGCACAAGTTTTCTTTTTTTATTGTTGACCACTAGAAACTTTTTACAAAATATTTCTTTTTTTTATTATTGGCCACTAAAAACGTTTTACAAAAATAAATGCAAATGGAAGGTATTGATCCTTGTATCTCTCACATGCTAAGTGAGCACTTTACCATCTAAGCTACATGCCCACATATTCTCATGTATTGTTAAATGTGTTCCTCATGTAACGAATAGATTAACACATTATTTATTAAGATGATAGTCCTGTGAAGTTAGTTTAATTAAGATAAAGTGGAGTCTCTAAATCACTAGACATGATTTCATAAACAAGAAATTAATGAACGGGCTAAGTTGAAGAGAGGGGTGAATTAAACTATCACAGATTTTTGAAGAACAATTAGAATGAACCTGATGAGTCCCTAATTGCCTCGGAGGCAGGAGAGGTCATCCCTAGGATGATTACTAGAAGCATGACTAGAAGGGAGACCTCCTTTTCACCTTCCATTTTGAAATTTACTTAGTATTGTTACTTAGTATTTTATTTTCCTAAGTTTTTCATTTATTTTCGCTTTCCTTTTGTAAGCTCACTTTTTGCACCTCCTTTTTTAAGAATACCACCTCTTTTTAGGGAAAAGAAGTCTTGGATCCATAGGATACATGCATGGGCAGCCCAAAGGTGTAAGACACTCTTTTTTTATTTCCTACACCCCTTTTTGGAGAGGAAGAAACTTGAGATGCGGGATTGGTAGGGTTGGGACAATGCAAAAAAGAAGCACACCTCTTTTTTTATGTTTTCCACACCTTTAAAGGAATGTTTGGTGGGCTAAGACGAATTTAACATATTTGGACCATGGAGACTCTAGCCTATAGGTTCAGGTTAAGTTTATGTCTCCTTTTGTAATTTCATCTAGGTCCCTCCTCCAAAAGCCTATATAGAAGACTTCCCCTCATGTAATTAGGTTGAACATTTATGATATGTTTGCGAGGTTTCTTAAAGTGTTCCATCTCTTTGAGTATTTTACCTTGAACCTTGGTTCAAGTGGCGACAACCACCACTTATCTAGGGTGGCTCATCCCTTAGTGGTGTGTGTCGCCGTACCCTCGCGCCGATAGGCGCAGGGATTTTGATTTTTGCGAACGGTTGCGATGGATGACTAAACCCCCGTGTTTTTTGTAAAATTATGTGGTCAACACTTTTAGGTTGTCTGATGACCGGGCTGAACTTAAAAGCGAGGTTTTCGTAAATAGGTCCTAGAGTCGCCACCAATATTTTAACCGAAAACATTGAAAAAGGAAAAAGAAGGCGTTGGTTTAATAAAAAACCAACTTTGGTCATTATAACCAGAGTTGGGTAAAGGAGTTAGTTACATGCAGGGAAGGTATTAACACCACAACAACGCCCCTTTCAGGTTCCCTATGATGGACTATTCTTTAAAATAAAGACATTAAAATCATGTTTCTACCCTATTTATTCATTGCAGAATTTAAATAGTTATCTACATGGCCCTAATAACTAATACATACAAGAAAAGTAGTAAAAGAAAACAATAAAAGAGATAATAGAGAAAAGAACCTCCGAAGTGAGCTTTTTATAAATTCTTCAAACTTGAGGATGTTTTATGGCAATCCCCTCGCTCTACAAGGACGTTCCTCCCTTGACCCAAAAATAAAACTTCTACTCTTAAGTGTCTAAAAGATCACTCAGACTCCAGAATAATACTCAGAGTCACCCAGAGGTCTTAGAATGCCTTCTAGGTAGAGAGAAAGGTGTGAGAGTGTGTGAAAATGAGTGGAATGAGGCTCCTATTTATAGGAAAATGTGTCAAGCAGGCTGGGACGGTCGTCTGGGCTTCTGATAAGTGAGATGGTCGTCTGGGATTTTGAGACGGTCATCTCGACTTAAGGAAAAAGTGAGACGGTCGTCTGGAAAAATGAGACGGTCGTCTCGCCTCAAGGAAAAAGTGAGACGGCCATCTGGGAAAACGAGACGGTTGTCTCGCCTTAAGGAAAAAAGAGATGGCCGTTTGGGAATCCGAGACGACTATTTGGACCCTCCTGTCAGAATTTTTCCTATTTTCTTATTTTTTTTGTCCAGAAAAAGCCTTCTTATTCTTTCATGGAGTCTAGTACTCTTGTCTAGGGGCCCCTTGAAGCCTTGTCCATCTTCGAACGAAAGTCTTCTAGTCTTTATTATAAGGTCAGGCAAGATTTGGGGTTTATAGTGTGTCAACACTCCATCACCACCATAGTTCTCTTCTCTTCATCTTTTCTTCTTTATTTCTTCACTCCATTTATTTATCCAAGGGGCGGGTCCATTTTTCTAACCCTTGTCTTTATTCTTTTCTAATTTCATTCCATCTCCTCCTCCCTCCACAATCCTTGGAAATGAACCTTCACATCTAGATAGACAATTATCTTAATGTCCAGTGAATTTTTTTTTTTGTTTGCTTACTTTATTGCTTAAAATTCTACACCTTATCTTCTTAAAAATCTGCACCTTACTTTATTTTACATCATTTGGCACTTAAATGATTTGGTTCTAGACTTGTCATAAATCTTGGTTGCATGATTAAAATTTGGCAAATTAGTTCTAACATAGTAGGAACCTTAGTCTTCTTTATGTGCGTGTTTGGCTGAAAATTTTGATTGCATGTTTCAAGTGTTTCTCAAATTTCTTTCTAGCTTTTCTTGCTTTGGTCTTGTTCAAAGTTTTGTAAAAAAAAATCCACTATTAGTATATTTTCTTTTATGCTTTTCTTGTTGTCTTAGGTTTCTTTAAGTTTTGTCTTTGAAAGTTTTCTTTTTTTGGAACTCTAAAGTGTTTTGGTTGGCGTACATATTTCCATTTGATTGCCATTTTTCAAGAGAAATTTTTAAGACTTTAAAGAGAATTTTGGAACATTTAGAAATTTTTCTACTTGAAGAGTGGAGTGATCCTACCAATCAAACTTGTGTGAGGATCCAAACCAAACACTTGAGTTACTCGATTTGCATTTTAACCTTTATTCTTTCATATTTTGCGTTAGTTTAACTTGTTTTGCAGACATATCAAATTCCTCATCAAAGAAGACAAGCAATGTGGGGGCATCTAATGAAGGACAGATAAAAGGTCCAGGGGAACAAACTCTAGTGGAATTAATTAGAGAAATGGAATTGTCCCGGAAGGAAAGTGAAAGACATTTGAGGGAAACAATCCAAAGACTTGAAGAGGAGAAGTCCCAAAGAGAGAGAAGATGTTCATACTTATCAAGTTCCCAAGAAGAAGAAGATATGAGATACCATGGAAGGACCATCTAGGCACACCAACACTCCAAGAAGGAACAACATCAAGATTCTGAAATTCTACGGAGATAATGATCCAGAAGTCTACCTAGATTGGGATGAGGCTAAAGTGGACCAAATCTTTAATGTAAACCCAGTAGGGGACTAAGAACAAGTAGATTTAGTTGTAGTAGAATTTGAGGGATATGTCATGACTTAGTGGCATAAGGTTTGTAACGATAATTACCAAGGGTCACCCACAACTTTTTGGATGGACATTAAACATTTAATGCGTGCTAGATTCGTTTCTTCCTACTATAGGAGGGAGCTCCTGTTGAAGCTCCAATGACTTTAACAGGGTAATATGTGTGAATGATTATTTCAAGACGCTAGAATCTTTGTTACTTAAGGTCAGTATGCATGATGAAATTAATGAGACTAAGTTAGTTAGGTTTGTTAGTTGTCTTAGAAGAGATATACAGGACTTAGTAGAATTATACAAATACTCCTCAGTTGAAAACGTTTTACATCTTGTCCTGAAATCGAAGCTCAATTGAAAAGAAAAGATGCGCATAATGACCACTACAATTCAAATTGGAAGGACAAGGGCAAGGAAAAGGAAAAACCAAAGAGAAACCCTTCCAAAGCTCTCCAAGAGGTGCCCCCTAAGGGAAACTCTGCAAGGAACACCACTCCTAACAACTTTGCGCCTCAAAGGACTAATTCTATAAAATGTTTCAAATGTCTTGGGTATGGGCACATTACTTCAAACTGCCTACCACAAGACTATGATTTTAAACGCAAACAGAGATGTCAAAAGTGAACATTCCTCCTCATCTAAAGAGAATTCTTTTGAATATTCTTCCTCAAGCGATGAAAAGATCACACCTTATAAAGGTAATTTGTTAATAGTAAGACAGATGTTGGATCAAGTCCAAAAAGATCTTGACAATACTCAAAGAGAAAACATTTTTCACACCCGCCACTTTATTAATGACAAATTATGTTCATTCATCATCATCGATAGTAATAGAATTTGTGCAAATAACATTTTGTCACAAAAACAAACTTTCACAATTTTTTTAAAAGAATTTTACATTTTGTCCATGACCAATTGTCAAAATTTCCTTACAAAATACTTTTTTTTTTTCATTACAAAATATAATTTTTCTCACCATATTTTATATTTATTTTTCGTTGCAAACTTTGACCAAAAATATCATTGCAATTTGTGACAGAATCTTTTGTCACAAATTATATATACTATATTTAATATATTAAACAATAAATATCAAGTAACATCTTTAACTTCCATCAATAAATTTTTATACAATTTAAGTTTAATATCAAATTTATTTTGAAAAGAATAAATAATAACAATTAATAAAAAAAATAGTTGCAGATATAAAATTTATATTGTACTTAAAATTAATAAAAAAATATCTTTCTAATTAGAATAAAAGTATCATATAATTAATTTGATTGATTAAAATTAATTATTCTAATCTAAACTCTATATATATATATATATATATATATATATATATATATATATATATATATATATATATATAGTTTATTTGAAAGGTTATGAGTTTATATACAAAACTAATGATAGTTTAATTTTTACTAATTTCATGATTACTTATGAATAATTATAATAAATCATAATTTCATTAACTAATAATGTTAACAAAATCATTGACTGGTATCTCTTATTGAATTGTCATTAAATTTAATTATATATAATAGTTACTGTAAATTTTAATTTTAAATTATATAATATTTTTAAATTTAAAATTATTCATTATATATATATATATAATATTTAGAAAGGTATATACAATAATATTAATAGTATATTAAATAAATTATAAAAATAAAACAAAATAATCATTTATATTGAAATAACAATAATTGTGAAAAT